TTCTGGCGTTCGCGAAGGACACGGCGCCGTGCAGCCTTGTTTTTCTCGTCTCGGCGTGCTTTCAATTGGGCGGCCTTGATATTGCGAGACTCCCGTAGTTTCTGGGTCAGTCGGCGATTTCGAGGCGCGCGGGTGTGTGGGGGGTCGTTCTCTCGAGAGGCGGGCATGATGGGGTGGAGGAGCCATGGTGGAGAGCGACAAGTAATATATGTGGCTCCACAGCCAAACAAATCCAAAGTGCTCCACTCGATCACGTTACACTTAACCGCCGCAGCGCCCAAGAGGCTCCAAGTCGACTCCGAGTCATTGCCGCTGCTTGCTCCACGCGTCATCATCGGGGTCGACGTGGACGGAACGCTCTGCACGACGCCCACCAGACGCCGTGAATATTACCTTGTCTTCTCGCCAAAATTGGGGACCCGACTATATCATGCCTCAACGCATCTGCCCCTGCGGCTGTGAAGAGCGACGGAGCAACAGCACCATCCGAATGCATCTGCGAGAGGCCACCAAGAAATCGGTTCTCGTTGCGCAACAACACAATTTCCGCGAGCAACGACTTCGACGGCTTCGGGCCGAGGCTCGCGCACTTAATTCTCCCGACATGGAGGATTCCACCGACTTGGACAGGGATATTGATATGGGCTCCCCAGAGGGTCATGGCAATGGCTCCGAGGTCGAAGAGCCGGAATCTAGTGGTGGTCGAGAAGAATCTCCGGCAGCAGAATCTGACTTGGAGTCGGATGGTGATCCCTTTGAGGGTCGGCCTGACGCTATATTCCTGGAGGATTCAGATGAGGAAGACGAGCGCTTGAGAGCAGATTTCAGAGTCGCACCCTGGCTCCAGGGACTGTCAGCCCAAGACCGGCTTGAAGAGGTTTTCAATGTTGATGCTGCGCACCGAGGTAAGTGTGAAAATGCCGCATTTCAACTTCTACTAAATCACCGCGCGCGATAGGTCATAAACTCACTGCGGACGAAATGAATGCCATCCGCGCCCACAACTACAAGGTGGATGTCGACCTCGGGGCCCGCGCGTACGACAAGTTGCCGAGGGCATTTCCAGAACTCGAGGGACTCCCGTCGCGCCAAAAACTCCGGACACAGATCACATTTCTGTCTGGCGTGAAGCCCATCGCGTACGACTGCTGCGTCGCGTCATGCTGTTGCTTCACCGACGCCTATGCGCCGCTGGACCATTGCCCATTTTGCAACGAGCCGCGGCGCGACTCCGCGGGTCGGCCTCGAAATTCATTCCATTACCTCCCTTTGATTCCTCGTCTCGTAAACCTCTTCCAGGACGACACTATGGCGGAGAAGCTGGATTATCGGCATCAGTACCAGTCGGTCCCGGGGAAGACGTGCGACATTTTCGATGGCAGCCATTACCAACGTCTACGCAAAACCAAAGTAACAATTGAAGACGAAACCTTATCGCACAAATACTTCTCTCAGCCCACCGACCTCGCCATGGGCGCCTCGACAGACGGATTTGGGCCATTCAAGCGGCGCAAAAAGACCTGTTGGCCCATTATCATCATCCTCTACAACCTCCCACCCGAAATTCGAACCTGGCTGATCTATTTGCTTTGCGTCGGTGTTATTCCGGGCCCGAAGTCGCCGAAGGATATCGACTCGTTCTTCTGGCCGCTGGTGGAGGAGCTTTTAAAGCTCATGCGTGACGTTCCCGCATTTGATCACCGTAACATGCGGCAGTTTGTCCTTCGTGCATACCTCCTGGACCTTTTTGGAGACATGCCCGCTGTCGCAAAATTGATGCGGATGAAAGGGCATACGGGCATCTCCCCGTGTCGCGCCTGTCGCATTTTGGGCATTGGAGATACCACTAATCCACGTTCCACCGCCCATTACACTCCCCTGCATCGCGCAAATGGGAACTCATATGACGCATTGGCTCTTCCGCGGCGTACTCACGAGCAATTCATGCGCCACGCCATTGCTGTGGAAGACACCGGCGACAACGACGCGGAGGAGGAGCGCCGCGCCACAAGATATGGCATCAATGGTGTGCCTCTCCTCGCTAAACTCTCCAGCCTGTCATTTCCCGACTCATTCCCCCACGATCTCATGCACCTCGTCGAGAATATCATCCCTGCTCTCATCGACCATTGGACCGGAACGTTCAAGAATCTGGACCAAGGTTCTGAGGACTATCAGCTTCCTCCCTCGGTCGCGGATGCCATCGGCGCGGCATGTGCTAAATCAGGCTCAACAATTCCTTCAGCCTTCGGGGCGCGCGTACCCGATATCATCAAGGACCGTTACCAGTGCACGGCAGAATCCTGGTTCCTTTTTACCACTTTTCTCGCCCCCGTCATTCTTCACAACCGGTTCTCGAAGCAGTGCTACTATGACCATTTTGTTCAATTTGTGGTCCTGATCACGAAGTGTCTCCGCTTCGAGATCTCGGCGGCGGAGATTGACGAGATTGAAATAGGCTTCGCAGAGTGGGTTCAGACTTATGAACGGTATTTATCTTACTTGTATGTCCTTTGACCACTCTAATCTTATGAACAGGTTCTATTATCAGTATGAAGAGACGCGCCTGCCCGCGTGCACACTCCCAATCCACGCGCTGCTCCACATCGCGTTGGATATTCGAACCATAGACCCGATGTGGTGCTTCTGGGCATTCGTAATGGAGCGTTTCTGCGGGTCTCTGGTGCCCGCTGTCAAGAGCCGCAAATTTCCCTTTGCCAGTTTGGCTCATCGCATTCGAGACGTCGCCCAACTGAACCAGATCAAATTGCTCTATGGACTTACTGACGAGCTCAATCTGAGTACCGACAAGGAGGTCGGTGACACGGGTCACGCATTCGACGACTGTATGCTTCTTTCCTCTTCCTCGAACATTGCTGAGTTTTTTAAAACCCCGTTTTAGATGATAAACTACGTCTGGTGTACCCGAACCGCGTGATCGAGGTTGACGAACCTCTGCGCAAAAAGATCGCGGCATACCTGACAACAAATTACTCAATTTCGCGCTCAGCAGCGCTTCTGCATGTTCCCAAGACACTATCTTTGTGGGGGAAGATGAAGCAGCTGGGTGGGGGCGACCTGATACATGCGTGGGATCTCGTTTCCGCGTACCACACGTCGCCCGACTCGGTTCGTGATGCAACCTTCATCAAGGCGAGATAGGACATGCTATTCCTGCCGTTAACTCACCTTTTCTGTATCCAGTACACGCTAGCCGTCGACAAGAACGCGCACCATCGCAACATGGTGGTGGAGTTGGAGCCGCAAGTTTTTTTTGGTCAAGTACGCAAATTCATCGCACTCACCGTACCCGCCGATTTTCCTGCCCGGCGTGATGCAGATGAGGCCGAGGAGGCGGGGTCTGCGCGACCACGCACTATCATCCTTGCCGCAGTCAGTCAGGCAAAGTTGACGCGGCGCAACAAGGTTGGGATGTCCTACTTTGACTCTAAATCCTCAGATCTTGGCCCAGTCACCGAGGTGATTGACGTGGACACCATCGACTGTGTGGCCGGCCGGATTCAGGCTGGAAAGCGCTGGGCTTGCCTTGTTCGACCGGAGGTGGCTGCAAAATTCCGTCTCGTTGAGAATTCAACCGTGGGTGACGCAATAGAGGAATAAATGTTGTATATTATATCCAGTGGAGTGGAAATTGTCTTTCGCGCTAGAACCGAGTGAACGTAAAATTTCACAGCATATGGTGAATCTCAGGATTCACCCGGAATCGGGGTGAAATGCGAAATTCACGCCCTGATCCTGTGAAATTCACAGCCTTCCTTTTCCACAGTGACAGATACAGTCACATAGTACTCTTTGACTTTTGAGCACCTGAGTTTTTCTTTGCGTCTGCTGCTTAGCATGCTGCCATGCTCCTAACAAACACACATTCGTTTCGGGACGTTAGCTTGAACGTTGTGGGTGACAGTGTGCACCGAATCTGCCAAGTATACAATCTTGGCTAGGGTGCGGCGGCAGAGCAATTTGATGAACTCCGACAGTGAATTTCAAGCATCCAAACTCGGCAATTTCCGTGGTGGTTCCCACGGTTGGATCCTTTGTCTGATTTTCCCATGCCCTACCGGAGCAAGAGTCGCAGCTGTGAGATGGGTTACGGGGACCCCAAGAATACTTAAGAGGACAGATAGCATGTTGCACCACTACAATTCAAGGGCACCTTGTTCAGGCTTTCTTTGAGTTTTGATTCCAAGACAACGGGGATTCATACATTGTGCACCGTGCACCACGAATTCGAGCTGTTGATGGCTGGACATATGAATGAGCTTCATGTTGTCAGCACGAAAGTTCAGGCTACTCAGCGGAGGCAAAACTCGGGCAATGCGGATAAAGTGCACTCCGCATGGAATAGCTAGGAGAACACCAGGCAGCCATTTGGGGTTCGACTCCCGCGTCCGCATTGGGCTCTGACGTAGGATGTTTTTTTCTCTATGCGGCAGGGGGCTCGACAGGTTCACGGAGTATTGTGTGCGGGGCCACGTGGTGCCTTCCTTGTTCTGTCTTTCAATGAGGGTTCCGATTTCTGACGCACCTGCTTGAGATAGCCTGAGGTGCCAAGTACAACAAACGAGGTACGAGATTACTGTTGTAGCCCCTGTTTATGCCAAGAAGCAGTAGTATGATGAATGGAGCCTAATTCAAACCTGATGCCCTCGGAGTACTGCCCTTTGCTCTTCGCCGGCGCCCTGGTTTTTTTTCGTTGAGCACGCAACCAATATCCAAAGATACCTAAATTCGTGCCCTGCTCAAATTTCCAGTGGCACCACAACTGAATCAACAGCTGTTTGAGTTGCAGGAAAGTGGTATGGTGTATGTTCGCACACGGAGTCTACATTGAGAATGTACTCCTGAGGACCTTGTTCGATTCAACGTGCCGCTCTTATCAGTATCCCCCGAGGTTTTTTCGCGTTCCGCGGACTGCCTGTTAACACCAACGGAACTTTGGAATTCCTAGACTCCCACCGCCTCAAGAAGAGGTGCGAATAAGCAGCATGGTGTATGGATGCACGCGGGGCCTTACTGGGCAAAATTGCGCTCGTCGGTACAACCCCGAGGTCCCTGTTCGAACCAGGGTGCTGCTCTGCATGCTTTCCCGAGCTTTTTTTTAAAAATTCCTCGTTGAGAGTATGGTCTGCTCAAACCGACGCAGTCAACTCTAGGGTGTCTTCCTGTACTTCTACTCCATCGAGGAGGCTACCGACCAGGAAATCACTGAGAGAGCATTGCCAATTCAAGATGTTGCCCTCAGTATCTTCGAATTAATCTACCTCGCTGTCGGATCTGTTTGTTTCAAGCTGTCTGGACTCACTGTCATCTCGGACGAGCTGGTGATACACAGACGGATCCAATCCTCTTGTTCTCCCGATTCCAGAACTGAACATCGGTAATTATTACTGCGGTTGAACTTCTCTCATCGCGGTTGAATTCACGGTCGATGGTGGGGATTTGTGGTGGCGGTAGGTGAGTTTCATTCGTTCGGCGGTCTGACTGGTTTCAAATGGTGGCGAGAATGCAGTATGGTGTATGGACGCACACGGGGTTCTACTGAAAGCAGTCTAAGTTGTATTCCCCGAGGCCTTTGTTCGATTCAAGGTGCTGCGCTGATGTCGAACCTCGTATGTTTTTTCTTTCGCGTGGTTATTCAAAATTTGAACCTGACCCTCACCTACATTTACATTTTGAACTTGACCATCACCTACATTTACGAAAGGTACAAAGAAGCGGTATGGTGCATGGACGCACACAATGGGAAAATACATATCCCCGAGGTCCTTGTTCGATTCAAGGTGCTGCCCTTCTTTGGTGGGCCGGGTCGTTCTTTTTCAGGAGTGAGCTTCGGCCACTATATCAATTGATTTGGATTCGCCCCTTTGAGAACCAGAAGGTGGCTCTTCAAGCTTCAAGTTCACTGAGGTCCACCGAGTTTCGAGCCTCAAATCCCAAATCTCCAGCACCTCGCCAGCTTGAACGTTGGGTGAGTGAAGCGGCATGGTGTATGGTTGCACGCGGGGTCTTACTGAGTCGTGGATAAGGGCCTTATTAAGGCTATAACCCCCGAGGTCCTTGTTCGATTCAAGGTGCCGCTCTGGAAGGTTTTCTGACTGACTTTGCTGTTTCGCACATTCTGGCGACTCACTGTGACCTCGTCTACGGTTGAATGACCGAGGACGGGGCTTCTCCCGTTGCATTCTCCCAAGGGCATCACTGAGCACAGTGGCATGGTGTACGTTTGCACGCGGGGGCTCACTGGGTGATTAACGGTGCGGTGCTATGACCCCGAGGACCTTGTTCGATTCGAGGTGCCGCTCTCATGATTGTGATTTCAGTCTTTTCCCCTCGCATTCTACCGAGTGAACACATCCACAGTTAAATTTCTTTAGAAGAAACCTCTCCCGTTCCGTTCTCAAGCTCCTACTTCCCGAAATGAATAGATTGATGATTGAGGTGGGCAAATCCCGACGAGCCTACTGTACAATTTCGTTCAAATCGACAGTCACGCGTCACGCGGGACCCTTTTTATTGCGGCAATATTTTTTTCTCGATTTATGGGATTTAAAATTTCCGAAAATCATCGGGGGTTGTGTCGAATTGAACGAAATAGTACAGTAATCACGGTTGAATTTGCTTTGCATGTTGGAATCAATGCCGATGGACTTCCGGAGAGTGCGGGCGCAGATCCCGAGGGAATTATCACCGGCGTCGTCAGTTCCATGTACTTACAGCAAGTTGAACCAAAACTTCAACCGTGGGAACGCTGACAAAATATGACTCTCCCGCTCCCTCCTCCGCCCCCTCCGCACCGTCTCCACCGCGTCTCAATGGCAACGCGCTAGCAGCAAAGCCGCACATAAGTACGACGAACGTCGACTCAACTCCCGCTGGCAGCAGATCCAACAATTCCACCGCGTCGACCCAAGGAGCGAGAACATGCAGAAGCCGCGTGAGGTACGCCTTCCTCTCCTTTTCCCGTATCCAATGCACGTACCGCGCAACGCGCAGCCCCCGTCCGGAAAATGGAGCGCAACCGGTGCCGAGGCGGGCGCGACGACGTAAGACAGGGCTGGACGAGTGCCGCACGATGAGCGGGGACGGGCCGTACGCTAGCCCGGGCACGGGTGGGGCCCAGCGGTATGGCGGGAAGGAGGGATACCAGCCGGAGAAGGGCGGGAATCCGGCGGAGACGCGTCAAAGTACGGAGGGCGAGGGGCCGCAGGGGAGGGAGAGTGGCGGGCGGAAGGCAGAGGGGCGGTGACGGTGAGCACGAGGAGTGTACTGGGAGTGTATTGGGTTTCCTCCGCCCGCTATCCCTTGGCTGACTGGATGTACAGACAGAACGCTGGACACCTAGAAATCGAATCAGTCAACACGTAACTTACCTACTTGGACGCTATTCTCGTAGTCATTCTAACGCACCAACAAAATACCCAATTCCTGCAGTTTCTGCTTCGTCTTGCGCTGCGTCGACGTCGGCCTGCCTCCCGACGTTCTCCACCGCAACCCCTGCTCGATGACCTAATCTCCTCCCTTGAATGCAACGGCCGCTCGCCTTCCTGATTTGCCACCCCCAAAGTCCCACTAGTACTCGTGCTAGCAACCTGATACCCCGCTCCACCTCTTACTCGCACCACAGTGCCAAGTACAGTCGGAAACCCAATAGGAATAGAATGCGGACGTCTTGCGCGGTGCACGACTGCAATCCATCATCGGCCATTTTCTTAATTCCAAGTAGTTAAGGAGGGGTTCGACTCCCCGCGTCCGCCTTGCTATTGTGACTTTCGCTTTTTTCCCTTCCGGCCAGCGGCAGCGTGTCGTGTGTATTAGGTGGAATGAATGGCGGAGGGATTGCGGACTTTGTGCGTGGTGCACGATTGCAACCCGTGGATTCTTCTAATTTTTCTGTTTCAGCATGCCAAATAAGTTCAGTGTCCTGCATCGCAAGGGAAGATAGGGAATGCGGGCGTTGGGCACGGTGCACGATTGCGATGCATGGTCAGGTGAGGAAGTATTCCAGCAGTTCTGGGGTTCGACTCCTCGCGTCTGCCTGCACCAGAGTTGTTCTACTTTTTTTTGGCTCGCCCGAGCAGATAACTTACCTTCATCGTGTTGCCGTGAAAGAAACAACGAGTGCGGACCCGTATGTAGCGTGCAGTACTGCATTTCGTGGCGCGGGAGCAGTTGAGTGAGATGGAACGCTTCGCATCTGCCCGGCATGTTAACTTCGAAAGTCGGTAGAATTGTACAGAATATTAATATGTGCCAGTTTATAGAATGGAGGAACTAAGAATGCGCCGCGGACGTTGTGCGCGGTACACCGCTGCATACCATACGTTGTTCTGACGTCCGAGAAATGAAGCAGTTGAGTGGGGTTCGACCCTCCTCGCCCGCATGAGTCGGAGTTCCAGATGATTTTGGTGTCTCCATATTTTTTATGCATCGAAGGTGGAAACAAGGACGTCGTGAGTCTATTATGGCTGCAATCCCCGGCTACTGGACGAAAGACCTCGGGCAGTGAATGAGCTTCAACTCCTGGCATCTGCCTGCAGGGCATTTATCTCGGGCACATCAGGGTATACCGACTGAAGGAGTAGGCGGTTAGCCCGGCCACCGGCCAAAACTACATTCGGACCGGCCTTCCGTATTCTGATGTGACATTCCCACGGTTGAAACCCGATTCCCACGGTTCAGGTCGGCCAAACTATATTGAAGTCAACCAATAGTCTGTGGCTCAGCGGAAGTAGTCTAGCTGAGGAATATATATGGGGCCTCGTGCGACCGAACCTCCTCCTTTGTAGCAGCGCTCTCCCTCCTAATTTGCCCACCCAAACCTACCCCGCACACAAGTGACACAACCTGACTCCTGCAGGCAGACAACTTACTTGTTCCACGCCTTCCTCGCCCCGACGGTGTAAGTACACTCCGAAGACCACAAGCACAGAATGCGGACGTCTTGCGCGGTGCACGGCCGCAATCCACGGGCCTTGTTTGCTACGTCCAAGCAGTTGAAAAGGGGTTCGACTCCCCGGGTCCGCCTGGTTTTCCCGCAGAAGATTTTTCTGCATCTAGCTAACCAAGCTAGAGCAGAGCACTGATTTTTTACCGAATGAGAACGTTGGGTCGAACCGGCCACTTGGCTGGCTATGTCGGTTGCGGGCGAGATAAATCTGGTACAGGGATGTTGGGGACACACAGAATCTTCTGTATCGCGTGATGAGCGTGCGACGACGTGCACGATGGATGGCCGATGTGACTACTACCGGCCCTAATCAACCCCGCTCGAGCTCTGAGAGGGAGTGAAAGAATGCCGTTGCATTTTGCCATAGGGTACATGTTTGCGATGGAGGGAATTTGATGCGAAGGATTGGCTGAATGCATCAAGGGGATGGAGGACTGGTACGGCCGGGTCACGCTCGGTAGGTTGATATCGAATGTTCAACCTCTTCAACGTTGGTTCATTTCCGTTGAGACTGGAGGAACGATACTTATTGCCAATGAAGTGTTTGGCTGGAGAGACTAGCACTAGGCACTGTTGGCAAAAACACGGTAGCAAGGTCATAATATCACAAAGGGAGCGTCAGGGATACTGAGACCTGCCGTGCCACCAAACCGGCATCTTCGGCAGTGAGTGGTCGTGGGAATTACCTCGGCAATCATATCTGCCGCTTGCGTTCTGCCACCATCTCCAAACCTCTCCCGATTCAATCCAAGCTCGAACTGACTCGTTATCGTCCGCATCACACCAACCTCGAACGCCATTGCGGTGGTACGCGGCGATTCTAACCCTCCCCCCTACTGTCGATGTGGCCAGGGACTCGGTCTCAATAATGGTACCGAGTGATTAACACCGTGCGGACAGTGACTGCCTCGACGACTGCCTCGACGACTGCTCGTAGAAGCGTATATGCGGAAGGTCGACGACAATTGGTGAGTCCTTTTATCCTCGTTGCCGCTCTCAGATCTTACTACACGCCAGACAGAAATCGGCGCATTTGCGCGACTCGTGGATTAATCAAAACTACAAGGTTTGTCCATTAACACTCGACAGCCTCTTCCAGATTGTGCATCGACGCTATCCAGTTAGGCGCCTGTCCCGGTCGGAAAGCTGATACTGGTCGTCGGGCTGGGTCTGACCATTCCTGTGAGTACGCAATTCGTGAAGATGGGACGTTGGAAAAACGTACGTGAAGGTGAAGACCGTGGTCGCATCCACAATGAACGGCGCGACGTCGGTGAGACTGTGGAAGACGCGAGTGACCGTGAAAGCGTCAGGGACATTCTGTGGCTGGTTCAAGGTGAGCAGTGGCAGTTGTCGTACATAATTCGTACTCACGACTGCCGCGACGACGGAAAGGGTGGAAAGAAGGAACAAGGCGTTGAAGAACATGGCGGGGGGAATTATAGTAAAGGTGGGTTCGTGGTTTCTGGCTCGATATCCGAGATGAGTGCTTATAACCACTTTTCTTGCGCTTCCCCGGTGATGCAGACGGAAGGTTCCTGGACTGCGCATTTCCTCCGCAGCGCGCAAGGCTATGCGTGTACGAGACGCTAATAAGCCGGCGACCACTCTTTTGAGAGGGTCTCCGACCGTTCGCAGACTAATCGAACCTTCAGCACCATTTTTAGCCTGATTCCATCACAGAAGATATTGGTGCGCAGTCCCCAAACCGGTGCACGTCCTGTGTCGCCAGGGCATTCGTCCTGGTTTTATCAAGACCTTCGCCCGACGTCTCGCACAACACTCAGTTTACTTCCGCGAGCCCGCGATCCTTGTGATCGGCCTTTCATGGGTGGGATCCTTCCCCACTGACCGCCGAACTCGCGATCCGCCTCGACGGGCTGCGGAATGGATCCTCAAAGGCTTAAAAGCCTCAAGATGTTTTCGGTTTTCAGACACCAATAATTCCACCCACTCAACACTTCTACACCATGCCTATTTCCCCTCTCTTCGTTGCTACTTGCTTAATTTCCACCGCTCTCGCGTCCATTGGCCCCACGGCGGACTTGACGCTCACCAACGGCGATGTCGCCCCAGATGGTTTCACTCGGCAGTAGGTACCCGTCTTGTCGAGTATTGGAAGGCGCTGAACGA